GCTGCCTGCCTCTCCTGCGTGCTCCTGCACGCTTCCTGGTGGGACTGGATGAGGGTCCTCATGTGCCTCTCCATTGAGTCTACGTTAGCCTCCGTGTGGCAGAGCAGGTCACAAAAGGACACTGATGTCGTCCTTTCCCCTGTGCTCTGTTCTTCTGGAGGCTGAGGCTGTTGGTCCCGTTTCCTGGAAGTGACAGAGCATGGGCACAGTGAAAGGGATGCAGGCTCATTTTGCAGAGCATTGCCCTGCAGGGCTGCGATTCCTGTGCAGCTTTTCCTGCCTCGCAGGACTGCCCCAAGCACGGGGCTCCCACCACCTCAGGCAGGCCCCGTGTAGCACAGGGGTTTCCAATTGGGTGTCAGACCCACGGCTGGGTAAGTCCCTGGGGAGAGCTAGCGGACCGCTGGGAGTCGGCTTTCCTCGGAAGACTTCACAGACAAGGGCTTTGTGGTTGCCTGCTCCCCACCTGAGGTGCCCTCCCTGCATGGTGCATCTCAGTAGCTCACCTGTCCCTGCAGTTGTCTCAGCCTTCTCCAGAGGCCACAGGCAATGCTCAACAGGCTCAGAATGCAGATGTGCTTGAAGACATCCGTGAGGATCCAGGTTACCCCTGTCTGCTCAAGGTTGTCCCAGAGGTGGCCCAGGGTATCCTGCAAGCTCTGGACTTTCTGCTTGGGGCCTGGGGACTGCTGCTTTGGGTCCCCTGGAGTGTCAACCTTGCTGACCCTGTACCACATCCTGCTGGGGCGTTCCAAAAGGCCTTGCTGACGGGGCCAGTTGGAGGCATGGCGCTGGGCATTAATGTGCAGCTGCTGCTCCTGAGATGCCGTCTTTTGGTCCCCATCCTCCATTGTCACATGGCACGTGGCTAAGCCAAACCAGCGAGGCTGGCTGCCGGTCCTGATCTCAACTGGATGCTCCTTCTGCTGAGGGTGGTCTGACCCCTTGTCTCCATTCCAAATCCAGGCAAAATAGCTGCAATAGCTGGAGCTGAATCCAGCAAGTGGGGACAGAGAGAGAGCTTTGTTCAGGAAGAGAATCTGGCTGAGCTTCATCCTGTTCTCACCCAAAGATCAATCTCAACCCAGAAGCGGCTGTCACCCAGAGCAGAGCTTCAGCAGTGAGCACCAGCGGCTGTCCCAAATGAGTGTGCTGGGGGAGGCTGCCAGTGTGGACATGTGGACAATGTGGACAATGTTGGACGTGACTTTAAGGAAAGATTTCATAATAATGAAAGAATTAATAATAGAGGGGAACAGTGTACTTCAGCTTCACTCCATTTTTGTTTCCCATTAGCAGTACTTTCGGTCTGGCAGACTGAAATACCAGAAGCATGCTTTTCTATTGGCCCACAAAAAAACTACAAATGGGACTGTTGTATAGATTTGGACCAACATGGCTCCTTGACACGCAGGAGTGCAGCCACGCACCCAGCTCGGGCTTGGGCCTCTACACCCAAATCCCAGCTCCACTTCCTCCCTTCCAGAGAGTCACTGTATGGTTAGGCTGGGAAGGGACCTTTAAGATGATGTATGTCCAAACCCCCAGCTATAGGCAGGGATGCCTCCATCTGGACCAGGCTGCTCCAGGCCCCATGCGGGCTGGCCTTGAATGCCTCAAGGCTGGGGGCATCCAGAACCTCACTGGGCAGCCCGTTGCAGTCTCACCAGCCTCATGGTAAAAGGAAAGAATTTCTTCCTGTTATCTAGACTAGATCTGCCCTCTTGCAGCTTAAAGCCATTTCCCCTCGTCCTGTCGCTGCGTGCCCTGATTAAAAACTCCCTCCCCAGCTTTCCTGCAGGCCCCCTTCAGGTCCTGGAAGGCCGCTAGCACGGGTGTGTGGGAGTACAAGGAGCACTGTACCGATCAGCAGCTGTGGAGCAAGACAAAGCATGAAAGGCAAGGGCACGTCTAGAAGAAAAGGAACAGCTCACGGCTCCGAGTGGATAAGCGCCCCGTGAACGGCTGGGGAGCGTCCGTAGAATGCTCTGTTGACATGTAAATGTAGCTGGGAAAGTGGTGGGGCCGGGTGGGACAGCTAGAGAAAGAAAACTTGGGAGGGTGTGTAAGCGATGTGAGAATTTGCAGTGAACGATGTGGATCGTTCCCTTCTGAGTGCGTGCATCAGACGCTGCAAATGGCGCCCACCACGTGGAGCAAACGAAGCGGAGGCTGAGCGAGCCCGGCCCGGCAGCGCCGCCCGACTCCAGTGCGGAGAGATTGTTTGACGCGCGGCCGCAGCGTTCTGCAGGCCAGAAGGTGAGCAGTCGGGAGCTACGGGGAGTTCGCTACCGACGGAGCAACAAGTAACTGCGGAAGCATTACGGCTAAAGCTTCAGAATCAGCCTTCAGCCGCTTCAGCATTAACTACCCTTCTTAAAGGGCTGAGCCAAACGTCCCCGAATTTCCGAGAACTGGGTTCTCTCTGCGCGGAGAGCTTTGGGACAAAGTCGGCACGGGGCTCTGGGAGGCTTCTATGACTAAAGACAGAACGGCTGCTAAGCTCGTGCCTGTTTGGCGCCACATAATGGAAGGGCTTAAGCAAATTGGACGAGGAAGAATTTCTTCCGACTGTTCCCCGTCGCCCTCCCTCCCACCCCCGCCGCTGCCCCTCGGTGCCGAAAGCAGCCTCTGCCCGGACCCGAGCCGCGACTCCGACTCCGCTCCCTTTGAAACACTGATGTCCTGAAACTTGGCTAGATGATGGACTGGGGGAGAACAGAACAGGACTCTTTCCACCAGGCAAAGCAGGCCATTAAACATGCCAACTCAGGCAGGCCCCGTGTAGCACAAGGGTTTCAATCGGGTTTCAGCCCCACGGCATGACAAGCCTACGTAAGTCTGTGTGGAGAGTTAGTGGACCTCTTGCCTTCCATGCCTTCCATATTTTTTCCTTTACATGTGTTAACACACATGATTAGAGCTGTAGGGTGTACCGGTATTAGTTGGAGTCTCGAAACATGTTTGTTGGTTCCTATGGCTTTATTCGCATTATGCGTTCCCAGTTCAGCACCGCTGACAAAATGGTTGCGGTTGCGGAGAGCCGCTCAGTGAGGCTGCAGCGCCTCCCGCTCCGCATGTGGGGCGGGTAGGCGGGGCGGCCGGCACTACCTGCCGCTGGGTCGGGTCCGCCTCCCGCCTTGGTACGGCCCCGGGGCGGAGCCCGAGGAAGTGACTTCAGCCGGCGGCGGCGGCGCGCCGCTTGGGGGTCATGGCTGTGGTGGCGCGGTCTGCGCTGGCGGTGGGGCGGGCGGGCTGCGGACGGCGGGGCCGGGGCCTGCCCGCTGTCGTCGCTGCTGCTCCGTATTGCACCGTAGCTCCGCAGCGGGAGCGGCGGCAGCCTCCCGCTGATATGAGGAGCTACTTGTGGTCGCGCTACAAGGAGGCCAAGCGGGTTACCAAGGGTGAGCGGGGCACGGGGACGGGGGCGCTCCGTGCAGAAGCGACTGAAACACGGCGGCTGGGCCGATGGTGAGCCGGCATCTGTCGTGCCGGGGTGTGCCCTCCGAGTAGGGCTGCTGCTGGCCGGTGCGTTGCTTGCCGGAAAGCGGCTTCAGGAAGGGAGTCCGGCAGCGTGAGGTGCCTGCTGCGGAAGGCTCGTCTCACGGAGAAGTTGTGACGCTGAGAAGTCTTAGCTGAGTTTTTTTCATTTTGCTTGCAGCTCCGTTAAAAGCACCGTGAAGTAGCATGCTAATGCTGTGTCAGTGACGAGCCAGGCGCTTGTTTGGAGTGTGAGGATGAATGTAAGGAAGCCCCTGCCCTGCTGGGCAGAAAGTTAGGGCTGTGCAAATGCCTCAGTTCCACAGAAATCCAGGGAATTCTGTGCCCGTGTGTTGGTGCCCTGCCCTAGGACCCACTGCTTGGTTGCTGTCTGGCAGGCTGCAGGAGCTGTCATACAAAGACAAAATTGGTTGTCATAGGTGCGGCCAGATCTGAAAGTACTGGAGGCTTGTCAGGGTTGTCCCAGAGGCGGCCCATGGTGTCGTGCAAACTGAATACTTTCTGCTTGGGACTGGAGGACTGCTGCTTTGGGTCCTTTGGAGTGCCCTGCTCTAGGACTCACTGCTTGATTGCTGACAGGCTGCAGAAGTCGTCGTACAAAGGCAAAATCAGGTGGCAAGGCACTGCACGGAGGAGCTGTGACTGCCCATCCCTGCAGGCACTCAAGGTTGGATGGGGCCCTAGGCAGCCTGAGCTGCTGGAGGGCAGCCCTGCTCATGGCAGGGGTTGGAACTGAGTGGGCTTTAAGGTTCCTTCCTAGCCTAACCACTCTATGATTCTCTGAAATATAGTTTGTTCCCATCCTTGTTCTGATGCTTAGTGTGATGGAGATGCTTGGACATTACCAAGAGGTAACTTGTTTCAGTGCTGGCAAGCAGGAAAGCTGTGCTTATCTGAATATTGCCGTATTCTTGCACATTTTGCCTTTTGCAGAAGGGAAACAAACAAAATTTGTAACGTAAGACAACCTGAGAATCCTGAGCCATGAGCTCTGGTGATGTCTTTGGTCTGGGTGCAAATAAAATGGGCAGCATTGCAGCAGTGGATTAAGACCAGTACTGCAGTTGTCTGAAAGGTACTGTAGGCTTGGGACAGTGGGATGAGGGAAAAGAGGAGGAGAGAGATTGCTTTTTATTTTGAGTCTTTCTTTTTTTCCTTTCCTGCTTTTGGAGTTATCTTTATTCCCCAACCCACACCCTGTAACACTTTAGAACTGGGGTCAGAGTGTAGGGCAGCATTAAGGGAAGAGAGGCAGGTGCTGGGTGGGTGTGGGTCAGCGGCAGAGAAGGTGAGTGCTTTTGGAGTCATTCAGAATACTTAGTTACTGCCTGAATTCTCAAATGCTTCAGGTGTCTGTCCTTTGTTTTGTTGGGATGACAAGATGACTAACCTGTCCTGACTTTTTTGATCTAAGTTCTATAGGTTCTGTCTGCAAGCTGAAATATGCAATAGCTGTTTGTGATGCATTTTTCAGGCAGCGGCTGGTTAATGGTGTGGTGTTTTGTTTTTTGGGTTGGTTTTTTTTTTTTTTTTTTTTTTTTGTTTTTTTTTGTTTTTTTTGTTTTTAGTTTGTGTGAAATATCTGCTTGAAATGCATCGTCTCACCAGGCTCCACAGTTGGTGTTTGGAAAAAGTACAACACGTGTTCCTACATTATGGTTTAAATGACATCACTTTGAAAGTTCACTTAAAACTCAAGTTAGGACTTCAAGGAATTGAATGATTCATGACCTCTTTGATAGGATGAGAGAGATTGTTTTAATAGTAGCATGTCAAATTGCACTTGGTTTTGTATTTTTTTTTCCTCACCTCAAGTGAACATGACAATTACTTACTGTTTTTTTCGTGAGAGGTGACCGGAGGCAGGAGGAGGTAATGTTTTGGTTGAGGCTTATTTTGTTAGATCCCCCCAGTGACTGTTTAGGAAGGATGTCGCTTTGCACGTCAGCTTGAGCGTGGCAAATTCCTGCTGTCCTACTCGGTGAATGAGATGCTGCACTTCATACGAAACTTGGAAGGAGACCTGGTGAAACTGCTGTTCTGTCTCAGTGAATAGCAGGTGTGTGTGTCTGAAGGATTTCAGATTACTGAAATACCGGCCATCTCTGAAGTGCTTGTAGCATCTGCCTGTTAGCTGTGCAGCGATCTAACGCATTGCTTTTATGAAAGAAGTGCTCTTTCCCTTCCTGTGGGTTGGTCAGATTTTTCAAAAAGAAGCGTGGTGCTTCTGAAAGATGTGCAATAGCCTTGCCTGCCTGTCTCACTGGTTTGGTTTCTTCTCATGGTGGAGCATGCAGTCTGTGTGTCCTCAGAGCTGGCGTCCCTCCTTCTACAGCTGTACCTAGAAAATAACCAGGCCTGTTTCCTTCAAAGTCACCCTTCCAAGTGCAGCTTTATAATGAAAGCCCACTTTTTTTCCCTGCTAGTAGTAAAGGCTGGATAATAAAGTTAGTATACAGGAAAGAAAGGAAAGGGAACTTGCTTCTAATGAGATAACAACCTCTGGAAGCTGTTCTTCCAGGGTTTTAAAGAAAAAATAAATGAAGAAATACAAACATCTTTAATGATGACTGTCGTGTTGACCTTAGAGTTGTGTCTCGGTGTAAAGGGTTCTTGCTCAATCTGCTTTTTGAGTAAACAACAAGAGGAATGTGCCCTTAAAAGCTGAAGCCGTTTACACACATCAAGTATGTGTGAAGAGAATAAGCAGAGTGTTTGGAGTTTCTGGCTTGCTGGAAGGTAAGCGTGCATTGCTATGCTTATTAAGCTGTTTTCAGAAAGCGTGGCATTCACTTACACTACACACGCATCGAATCCTGGAATCATTGATGTTAGGGAAGACCATTAAGATTAGCTAGTCCAGCCGCCAGCCCGTCCCCACCGTGCCCACTGACCTCAGTGCCACATCCACACGGTTGTGGAACACCTGCCTCCAGGGACAGAGACTCCACCACCTCCCTGGGCAGCCTGTGCCACTGCAGCACCACTTCTCCCCAGAAGAAATTGTTCCTATTATCCACCCAACACATCCGTATGGATAGGAATGCAGTAACGTGGTAGCCTTGATATGGCCAGGCAAAAATTTTAACAGCGTCTGGTTAAAACAGTGGTAATTCTGTTCTTGGGGCAGAGCCTGGACCAAATAATGAGAGAAGACAAAGCTCTCAGCGTGACAGTGATAACAACCCTCCATTCCTCAAACTCCGCCATGAATTTTCAGTGTAATTATTAAATAAAAATGAATTAATGGAGTTAGCAAAAACTTTGTGTATTGACTCTGGGGTTTTGTGTTAAGCATGATCTGGAAACACATATTCTGTTTTACTTGATCTGTTTGAGGAAAGCTTTCAAATAAAAACATTGAGTCAATGACAAAGTAGGGATAGCATTTTCAGTAACATAATTTTGCTGAAGGTTAGATGATATATTAGTGTGAATCAGTTTAATAGATTCCATTTTCATTTATATGAAATTTCTATATTTAGAAGTCGCTAATGGTTTTATTACCAAAACTGTGAGGCTGTTACAACTTTTTTCCCCTCTCCTCTGTTTGCAGAATTAGTTCCTTCAATTATGAGTAACATGCTGAACCCGGATGCTATTTTTTCAAACAATGAAATGAGCCTGTCAGACATTGAAATCTATGGCTTTGATTATGACTACACGTTGGTCTTTTATTCTAAGCATCTGCACACTTTGATCTTCAACGCTGCACGTGATCTTCTTATTAATGAGCATAGGGTAAGTAAAATTATTGGGATTACAATAATTTTAGTATTGAAGAGAGTAACAGATCATTTCTAGTTGAGGGAGGTATAACTCATCTTCTCATGCTTCAGCCCTGGCTTGGCTCCTTCGTTACACACTTCATACAACAGCTAACATACAAACCACGGAAGTCCTGATTTATTCTCAGCTGCAGTTTCGAGCGGAGTACAGTCTGGCAGCAGTCAGGGAACATTTTGTTTTCTTCTTTGTTTTGTTTTTTGATTGTTTTTATTTTTCAGTTGGTGGTAGCAATAGCTTTTCTTTTTTTTTTTTTTTTTTTTTTTTTTTTTTTTTTTTTTTTTTACCTGATTGTCAGTTATTGGTGTCACCCCAAAATATAAGAAACTTCCAAGTTGTTTTCAGTGTTTTATGCACCCTGTGATTGCAGCCATGAGTTTCCATGCAAAATATTTTCAGCCCGTCTTCTTATGAGGTCTGTGATTGTGCTGCGTGCCTCTCTATGCTTTCAGCATTTCAGCCCAGTTACCTAAAGGGGCAGTGTGTGCAGTGGCACTGTAACCAGAGCTTGGGTGTAAGAGACCCAAATAAGTGCTCAGCTCAGTAGTCCCCTAAGAGGGAGTGTGTATCTGCTGCTATCAAGCGGTGCATTTGTATCAGTCGCCTGTCAACATCCAGGCAGCTTAGAGGTGGGTTGGGCATGGGAGATGCTGCTGTATGTCAGGAAGCAGGGAAGGGGATACAGATAGGTTGCAGGGAAAACTGAAGGTGTTGGAGGGAAAAGGTCCAAAGCAAGTGTGGACTGGAGGAAGCATAAATAAATAAATAACTGCAGTATAGGAATTGCAGGAAAATAAAAGGAAGAATTCTACAGGCTAAATTAGTAAAACTGTGTGTATATTTTATACAAACTAAGCTTGAAAGTAGAATAACACCATCCATTCATGTTTCAATCCAAAGGTTAGGAGCTATATATAAATAATCTATAAATATCTCTGCAAGAACAAACAAAACTTCATGGGCACTAGAAGCATACACAATTTGATCCCCCTAAAATTTTGGCATGCTTTGGTAGCAATTTCTGTGGAATGAATAAATGCACTTTAGTAAAGTGACTTGGTTCTTGAAAGGGCCTTTATAGTAGCAGTAAGGGGACAATAAAAACATTACTCAAGTTTTTATCATTGGATTGGATTCAGATAGTAAAGTTGTTACTGTTTGTTGTTTCAGGAAGAATTTCTCACGCTGTAGTGAGTGAAACTCCAATTAGCTTCTGAGACAGCTTATTGAAATGTATAACCATAGAATCATAGAACGGCCTGGGTTGAAAAGGACCACAATGATCACCTAGTTTCAACCCTCCTGCTATGTGCAGGGTGGCCAACCACCAGACCATGCTGCCCAGAGCCACATCCACACAATCTTTTGGAGCTTGAGGGAAAGCACTTTTTGTTAATACCAATTCCTTAATGATTTTCTCAATATTATCTGGAAGTTTTTCCTAATGTTACATTGTTGATTATGATAGTGATAGCATGGAAGATGACCAATTTTGGCCATGACAGTGTAAGGTAATTATTCAAAAATTGCAAAATTTTTTTTTTTTGTGGAATGTGGAGATGTGGAATTTTCAAGTGTGCTTGAAAGAATAAATATGAATTTAATGCTCATCTCATGGTTGGCAGCAAGTGTGGCATGTAAGCTCTTGTTCTTGGGTTTGTGTATTCCCCAATGTATGGGCCTTGTGCCACCTTTTTCAGGCTGCTGTTCAGTCCATATAATATATATTACCTCAACCAAAAGCGGTGGTGAAGGGACAAGCAAACAGTGCTATTTTTATCATTATTTTGTTTGGCTTGTAAGGAGGCTTTAATTTGTGTGCCAGGTTAGGCTTAGTCTTTTGCTTGCACGTACTGCCACATGTGCAAAAGACAGCCTTCTGTCGGAATAAATTGAAGTCGTAAAGTCAAGCAGGCAGAAACTTCAGAAAGTCAAATTTCCTCGCTTATTCTTGGTGCGGCCACTTTAGGCCCATGCAGTACATTGTTGTCTTTAATTGATCACAGTCCATATCCTCTCCTGTGCTTTTTTCCCCTTCTCTTGTTTTGCTTCATGTTTCCTGGCTGATTCTGCATATCTTCAGAAACAGTCTTTAGGCTTTCAATTCTGTTTTGAAATCAGTGTTTTCTGGAACCAATAGTAGGGATGGCAGTTGAGAAGCCAAGAGAAAGATTGTGCTCATACCAAGCACAGGACTGTTTTCTTTAATTATAGGTGCCTATCTGCAGCAGTTGAAGAGCAAGTGCTCTTCTGCACAGATTAAAAATTTATTGGAAAAATTGGGATTTTACTGCTTTAAAAATAGCTTGCGCCTCTATTGAGGCTGCACAACTTCTGTGTTTTTTTTTTCCCCCTCAGACTTGTAAGCCAGCTGTATTATGTATGGAGGCTGTGTAGAAAAGTGGAGGGTGTGCCTGAGGTGCATCAAGTTCTCTGAGGTTTGTAGTGTGTGAAAAGGAAATGAAGAATCACCTTTCAGATGGTTAATCAAATAAATGAGGTTTTTTTTTCAAGCACTGGAAAAAATGACTGAAACATTTTACCTTTTGAAAACAAAAGGACATAACCCCTAGCCTAAGACACTTGCCTGACATTTAATTTTTTTCATGCTTATTCTATGTTTAAAGTATGATAAAATCACAATCAACTGAAAATGGGCCATTCTGATAGGTGGTGTGTTCTACCTATGCTCTTTATAAACAGCCTGAGGAAATAATGATTCAGAACCGAACTCTTCTGCATTAAAGAAAGTGAGCATATGTGAAAGCCCCCTCCAGGCTACTGATAATAATTGTTTTCCCATCTATGCTGTAGATAAGGAAGAGATGAGGAAACTTAGTAAAAATGGATGAGTACTGCTTATTTTTTTTATCAGTACATGGTTTTCTGGAAAAGCGAGTCTGTATCTGCAGTGAAGCAACCTGCAAGAGTAATACATTGGGTCACTGTGATGCTCTTCTAAAGTGACTCACTTGGATGGTGTTCAACACCATCCTTGCTTTGAGATCTGATGTGTGTTGTACCCTGAAAGGTACTGGCTCCACAGATGCAAGTCTGATGTTAATGCTGTCGATGTTCATGTGTATGTTTTTTAAGATGTAGCATGGTGAATGTTTGGAGAAGGTGATTGTAAGCCTTTGTTGAATTGTGCAGTTCTATTAAACCACTGACTGGCTGCCAAGTGTCTGTGGGCCTGGCATGTGGTGCTGATCAGCAGCTGTGTCTGGTAGTACCACATGCTCCTACATGAAATTCCTGGGGTCTGCACTCTTACCAACTTTGCTTTTATGAAGTCTGCTACTAGTGAAAAGGCATAACTAATGGTGGTTGCACTCTTAAAGCCTAGTAGTTTTAAGAGCCAGCAAACATTTGAGGAAGTCTGACATTATTGTACACTCCAATCCTGTGCCAGGGAAGAACAGTGCCATAGTTTGAAATTGCTGATCTCAAATATCTTCAGAAATTTTTGTTAAGATGAGATTGAGCATCTTGAATTCATAGACTGAGCTGTCTTCAGTTTGTCCTGCCAGAGTTCAGGGAGCACCTGGACAACACTCTCACATATACGGTCTGATTTTTGGGGTGTCCTGTGTGGACTGAGGGGTTGGACTCAATGTTCCTTATAGGTCCCTTCCAGCTTGAGGTATTCTGTGTTTCTAAGCTTATTTTGTGGGAAAAGTTCAGAGTACAAGGTAATTTAGCAGTTCAAATTTTAATTTAGTCTACTTTCATGGTTGCATCTATTAAAATCTCTTGATCAGAAGACTAATGTTCACAGTTAATTAAAAGGTGGATGTTCAAGTGCTGTGCGTGACTTGGGTTTAAAATATTGGCTTGTCTCATGCTGTGTGTATGTTCCTGTGAGTCTCATCAACTTACTTAAAAGCACTTCTGATGGCTAGCAGGAACGAGAAGCAGATAAACCACAGGCTTTTCAAATTACGCAGAAACAGTTTTTAGGTTTTCTTAAAATAATTTAAAATCAATTTTATTTTCTCTTCTCTTAGTATCCTGCAGAAATAAGGAAGTATGATTATGATCCGAATTTTGCAATAAGAGGACTTCATTATGATGTGCACCGGGTATGTATAAGTATCTTTGTTAAGAGTTACATAGTGTTGAAAACCCAGCCAAAGAACATGAACGAGTCTCTGAAGTCTTCTAATCTCTCATTCTGTGTTGTGTAAGGATTTTGTTAAATGTTTTCCTTTTGCTGTGAGCTTGATAATTTTTTTTTTTTTAATCTTATGTAAAAAGTGTGCTGGGTGTTTTGTGTGGGGAAGAGTACAGCAGGATGAAGTACGCTGCTGTTATTAGAAGAAGATACTTCTTCATGACTGAGTTCAGGACACTGGATGTTTGGTGACTTTTGCAGGCCCTATGTTGAAATCATTAAAGAAGTATTTTGAAATCATTGAGAAAGTATTTTGGAAGCAATAACAGTGGTTGAAAGGAAGGTGCTCAGTTGGTCTGGAAGCAGAATGGTTACAGATAAAATTGCTCTCTTTATTTTTTCTTTTAAGAGTTCAATTTCAGATGGTTGGCATGCAGTTAATGTTGACTTTTTTTTTTCTTGCAAGGCATTATTAATGAAGATTGATGCTTTTCATTATATACAGCTAGGAACAGTGTACAGGTAGGTAAAATTATTGCCTGTATTAATAAGAAACAAAGTATACTCTTGTTTTTGAAGCTTGTAGTTGCCTTTATTAATTCATGCCTTGACCCCTATCTGGAACAGCACAGGCATGAATGAGTACTGCAGCCTTACTGGAGGGGGCTTCTTTGCACCTCTGTGTATATACACAAACACTAGCACACACTTACAAGCTCAGTACAGTACAGCTGAGTTTCGCAGCCCAAAGCTGGTGATGCTGGCAAGCTAGTTGGTCACACTGCTGAGTCACTTTGTTTCCAGCTGTTAAATTGTACTGAAAGACATCTAAAAACACACTGACTTCTCCACTGGTGCTTTCAATGTAAACAGTTGCTGCCGGGTGCCTGTTAGCATGTCTTTAGTGTGGCTGCAGATGTGCACAGAGCTTTCAGATTTTGACAAATCGTTCTGCGAGTGTGATGTAGTCAAAGCACAAGCACGTTGTGTCCACACAGTGTGACACACACAGTGATGCTCAGTGAGTGTGCTGAGTTCAAGTCCCATTGGCAGTCACTGTGCTGTGCTTTCTTGTGTAGCACAGTCTTAGTGTGATTTTTGCTATAAGAGTCTTCAGCATGGCTTGCACTGATGAAGCAGTACATGCTTGATTAATGTGAATGCCACACTTAAATCAACAAGCCTGGGTACGTTTCTTAATTTCACTGGGCAAAAAGTTCTCCTTTGGGACCAGAAGACAATGCAGCCATGAGGTGATTTGCTATGTAAGTGTGTATGATTGTGTGAAGTGATGATGCACTCGTTACTTCTCGTTTTGCCAGCTGCACAGGTAGGTACACGATTCAGTCATAAAAAGGCAACAAGATGTCATGGTCCAGCATTAGGCTGATACTGACAGTGTAGTGGCTGTGTAAAGCTGCTAAACAATCTGTGTTCTGTGTGCATCGTCATTGTACTCGTAATGCAGCTTCACACCATTTGCTTGTGACCTATTCATGCTGTATATTTCAAACAGTCGACACCCGTTGCTGTTTCTGTTTTCTAAGCCCTACATTAACAATATCAGACTAGAGCCAGCACATAATGGCTTATAAAGAAGATTCCAAAGAGATGTTGAGATTTCCTGAAGAGTTCATGTGTTGCCTTTCGCACCCAAAGCAATTCTGGACAGACTTCTTAGCCACATGTATTGGTATTTGAGTCTTTGTGAGAGTGAGTGAAAACTATCATTTCAATCATATACTTTCTTAGTTTTAAAATAAGATTACCTTTCTCTTATGTACCAGCATACATAGACAGCAAATGACAGCAGCAAAGCTCTGTAGTTCTTTAGCTTTAACCTTGTATGTGTTCTGTGTATTTGTTGGCCAATTAAACTGCTGAAAATAGTAGGACTTGGCCAAGCGTGAGAACTTGCACTGAGAGCTTCTGAGCAATTCTGGTACTGTTTTAATAATGCCCATTTTCAAGGGCAGCAGTGGAAGCACTACTTTAGATGAGCCATGATGCTTTTAGTACTAGGTTTTGAGTGGAATAAAATAAACTTAGTTATACAGCTGGACTGTGAACTTTGTCAAGACTATGGATTTTTTTAGAAAAACTCATGTATTGCTTTACCAAATGTCTTTTCTCCTCTCTGGATTTTGCAAATTTTTGTCTTCTCTCTTGATTTGCACTTAAATGGTTCCCTTTTTTAAAAGAGTGCTTTTCTTAGCAGTACTTAAGAACTATTTGGCATAGTTGTCTGCAGAGTAGAACCTGAGTCAATCTGGTAGTATTGCTTGGTGTACATTTAACAATTTTGTTGCATTTTTTTCTGTTTCTTGATGTGGAGTAGATGACACTGAATAACTTTTTAGTATATATATTTTGTAATGTAGATAACTGCTTTGCTCTTGTACAATACTAACTTGAATGCTGCAGTTTTACCAGCAGTAGCGTGGAGCTACACGTAAGTCAACGTAGCGTTGAAAAGGGCAGTATGGGAGCTGGTTGACATGGACCTCTGCTACCACAGCAGCTTGTATGTCATGCCCTTCTTCTGCAAGCCTAATATGAATTATAATAATGGCAACACTGGCTTACACAGTTTTTTAAACACTTTGGGGTGACCAAGAAAAGGAGTCACTGAAATAAACTATCTTGCTTATAAGGCTGCAGGGGAAAAACAAAACAACCCACAAACATAAGTAGACTTGGAGTAAAGGACCAAATGATCTGACTTCTGTGTTCTTCAGTTTTAAGCAAAACCTCCCTGTCCTCATCCTCTACTTACTTTTCTTCTGGTGAGGATTACTGTATTTATTTAGTGTTCTAAGTGCTTAAATGCAAGACACTTGACACTCTAAATAATCAAAACCAACAGAAATACCAACTCAGTCCCTGAACGTGGAATCATTAGTAATTTAGTGTAGTTGGTAGAAAAACTCTGGTGATATGTCTTTGTTCTCTGTTTGTTATTCCTTTTCTGTACTTTAATTACTTGTCAGCAATCCTTCAAGTAATTTTAAATTTTGGAACCTAAATAGTTGATACAGCTTAAACTCTTACTTAGAGATTGTGTGTGTTCTTCAAGGTCATAATGTAGAAAAGTCTGGTTTACACACTATCACATCATCAGGGCTTTAAGAAACAAAAGCAGTGTGAGGAACTACTTTAAGAAGTTGGAAGCTCTAACTACTTTCTATAAACCCTTCAGGCAGAGTTGCAATGGCAACTAATTAGCCTTTGTTTCCTCTTAAGAAAGTAGGAGACTTAAATTTGGAATGCCTTTGGCATGCGTCAGCCTGTTAAAATGTTACTTCTGTAAGGAGAGATGCTGTTTCAACTTAGACTAATGTGTTCCTGTGACATTGGTATTTCAGTAAGCTCCAGATTTAAGTACTGATCTGATAGATTTTTATTCAGTAATTACTTCAGAATTTTAGTGTGACTTTTGAACCCTTTGTTGTTCTCCAGAGGCCTCAGTGTTGTCCCAGATGAAGAAGTCATTGCAATGTATGATGGTTCCCATGTTCCCTTGGAACAAATGAGTGACTTTTATGGAAAGGTAAAAATACTAACTGCTGCTGTTCACAAATGGAATTTTTTTTTTTTTTTTTTAATGGAGTGGGTAGGGTTTGCATTTTGTTCTTGCTCCTACTGTTATATTTTCCTGGTTGACTTATAGTGTTAGATAAGAAGCTTTCTCTCTCATGTGACAAATACCCATTTTCTATTACTTGCATTAATCTTTTTACTGTTCCCTTGCACAGTCATATGTACAGAAGTAGAATATTGAAAAGTCAAGTGACTTTCTCAGTTACACAGCAAGTCTGATAAAGGCTGGGAAGTGAACCATGTCTGATGCCTTACCTTCAACTTAAAATTTCCATGTAGTTCTCAATTATGGTCTCTGGAGCAGCTGCACCAGTTCTGAATATCAGCCTGGAAGTCCTTATAGAGTACCTTGCTCTTCAGCACTATTCTTCTGTTGATCTTGAAAAGGAGGGTGACAGGACAAAACAAGTGGTTCCCTCTGAACATCAGGAAATGCTTTTTCTCTTTTAAGTGTGAGTGTGACTGAGCACTGTTACGTGTTGCCCAGATAGATTATGGAGTCATTTCCTTGGGCATCTTCCTAAGCCTCTTGGCTGTGCTCTTTGGCAACCTGCTACAGCTGCCCCTGCTTGAGCAGAGGGTTGGACCAGGCGGCCTCCAGAGATCCATTCTAGCCTTGACTGTTCTATAGTCTTGACCAATGTGCTGTTTTGAACAAAGATACCTGGTTGTTTTACCCTCTTAAATATTTATTCCTGTACAGTGAGATCCTCTACTTAAATTAAAATTAACTATAGGTACAACTTTTGTGCAGTGGATGTCTGTTCTTTCACTATTGTAGATAGAGCATTCTATCTCTTTTCAGGAAGGCAAATTGTTTTGCAGTCACAGAATCATAGGGTTGGAAGGGACCTCCAGAGATCATCAAATCCAAACCCCCTGCCAAAGCAGACTCCCTGCACCAGGTCACACTAGTAGGTGTCCAGACGAGACTTGAACATCTCCAGAGAAGGAGACTCCACCACCTCCCTGTGCAGCCTGTTCCAGTGCTCCGTCACCCTCACCGTAAAGAAGTTCTTATGCACATTTGTGCGGAACTTCCTATGCTGCAGTTTCTGGCTGTTTCCCCTTGTCCTGTCTCCACACACTGCTGAAAAGAGCCTGGCATCACCACTCTGCCCCCCACACCTTAGATATTTATAGACTTGGATCAGGTCCCCTCTCGGTCTTCTTTCCTAAAGGCTAAACAGACCCAGTTCACTCAGCCTTTCTTCATAGCCTTTCTCTCCCAGTCCTAGTTAACATTTTGTCAAAGCCCAAACAAAAAAACCATTCCCTTCTCCCCTGCCCATAACAGTACTGCTTGCTTGTAGAATTGTAGACCTCCAACAAAGAGGTCTCTAAATACTTCTTTTGACTCATCTGTGAACACTCTTTTATGTGCTCCTGAGATAAAATATGGTTCTTAAAGCAGTGGTTCTTCATGGTAAATTTTCAGAATAAAGCCAATGCTTTCATCAGTTACTTTATTGAAAGTCTGTTTATTCAAAAGAATTCTAATATGGTGAGAAGAGTGGTAGCAAAGGCTGAGCATTTGCAGTTAATCTGAGTTTTTTTTTTTTTTATTAATGGAAGTGCTCCAATTTGAGAATCAATGTCTGACCATTTTTCTTTTTTTTTTTTTTTTTTTTCTTTTTCTTTTGTAGAGCTCACAAGGAAATACAATGAAGCAATTCATGGATATATTTTCCTTGCCAGAGATGACACTCCTTTCTTGTGTGAATGAGTATTTTCTGAAGAACAACATAGACTATGAGCCTGTTCATCTGTACAAAGATGTCAAGGTACTAACTTTCAAGATTTAGGTAAAACTGTACATTTGTGTGTCTTGTCTGTGAGCATCTCACAAGGCTCATCCTGCTGCATTAATTCCAGTGAAATACCTCAACTCTAGGTTTTGTGTAGAGTAGTTATTGCTATAAGACTATAAACTTCAGCACAATGATAGTAAGCATTGGGGGGAAAAATGCAGTAATTTGGCAATTTGTCTTAAAAATCATGTTCTGTGGTAGTTATTTTATCTATAGGTTTGGGGGTGGCTAAGAGGAAAGTGAAGAAGCTCTCATGTCAGTAAAGTTTCTTTTGCTTGTTATTGAAGGTATACTTTTCTTGCTAGCAGGAATTGTAAGAGGCTACGGGGAAATCCACGGAATGTCTGTCTGTGCTGCCTCTGTATCTTTATTAGCATGCAATCATTTTTTGTCTCTTGCTTTCAGCATATCTCTTCTTGCCTGTTTACTTCTTTTCCTCCTCCAAAAAAAGGATGGTAATAATGATTAGAACAACTTGACTGTCTTGATTCGTGAAGATGTACCCTACAGGGAAGCTAAAGTTGTGTTCTGAATATACTTAAGAATAGAAAAGGCCACTCCCAACTTGATGAATTTTTGACTATGTGAACTTGTCATCCAAATCCTTCTTGTAGCCTCTTCTTGATGCCTCTTCTGTGTAGTTAAGTGTATGTGACAGGCCTGAATGTTGAACTTCTAGCTTCTCCAATGGAGAAGTTCCTTCCATCTCCTCCTAATCTTTCCTCCTGCCTACAGTTATGTAGTCAGAAAGCTAGTTTTGGTGGCTCCTGCTGAAACATTTGTAGAAACTTCCATATATTTAACTGTTCAGCATTACCAGCTTCTTTGAAGCTGCCTAAGTGACTTCTTAAAGAATTTGTGGGCTATGCATAGTGCCAGTATGGCAGTGTCACTGTCCTAAACAAAGCATTCTGGTGCAGAGCCAGCTCAGTAGAGATGGCGCATAAATGCCCTCAGAGCTCCTTTTGGTCCTCTGCTTAAGCTTCATTTGCCTGTTCAGTTGTGGGGTTTTTTTTGTTTTTGTTTTTTTAAATCAGGGCATTAGGGAGTGATGATAATGTAAAGCCTGCATTACAGCTTCCCCTTGCCCAAGGAAAGGAATGTATTTTACTCCACAGGACATCAGAAAGCTGTGATTGATGCCTTGGCTTCTGCATAGGGCTTTCACCCCAACTCCCCCCACTTCCCTTACCCTTCTGAGCTCTCTGTCACAGTTGTTACAAGCCCATTTCATACTTCCTGAAAGTATGAAGGAGTTTTCTAGGAGAACAATCTTGCTTTGTCTAGTGGTAGTGTATGCGTAACGAATACCACGTGGCATTTCTGTGAAATTGAAAAGGTAATTCAGGGAATGCAATTGTTATAAAAGCAAATTATTACTATGCAGTTTTTCATACTTGAAAAGCTCTTGCAGTTCTTCAATGCTCTGTTGATTTCCTGACAGGATTCAATCAGGGATGTCCACATCAAAGGAATAATGTATAGAGCAATTGAAGCAGATATTGGTAAGTACTAATGACATCATTTGTCAAGGCTTTTTTTCCACTGATAAGGAAGCCAGAATGGTCAATACGTTATTTAAGATATTAAGTTTCTAAATTTTAAAGCTTGAAAGAGGTGTTACCACTTATCTAGAGTGCCTCTAGTAAGTATAGCTTTGCACTTGGAACCCTTGGTTGAACAGAAAACTGTTCTCTTGAGAAACTTGAGATTAACATTTTTTCCTTAATCCCCACAGAGAAATATATCTGTTATGCTGAACAAACTCGTGCAGTATTAGCTAAGCTGGCTGATCATGGCAAGAAGATGTTTCTTATCACAAACAGCCCCAGCAGCTTTGTGTAAGTGAAGTAATTTTCTGTTCGACTATCAATTTATAAAGGATGGGGAGAGTGAGATTGAGTGTAATTTATCACATTGCACTAATAACAGTTGCACTTCTGTTATATATGGCTGTTAATAACCCTCTGCCCTTTTTAGGGACAAAGGCATGAGGTTTATAGTTGGCAAGGACTGGAGGGATCTCTTTGATGTGGTCATTGTGCAGGCTGATAAGCCAAACTTCTTCAATGATAAGCGAAGGTGGGTATTTGGTAAAGGCAGTTTCAAGCAGCTTGTTGTCAAGCAGCAGTATAAGGCTATAAAGCATGTTATGTAGAATTTTGACTTGGGTATGATGTAAAATGAAGTTGCATTTCATGAAATCCTGTTTTAAGGTCATGACAAAATCCAGGAGCACCCCTTTTTGATGTCCAAATATTACCATTTCTTATCTGAGAAAGTTCCAATAGCTAATGGAGGTCTAATCTCCTGGACTGAGTTAGCCACAGAGGCTGTTTTTAACACCTTAATGTGTAGTTTGACTAAATGTTCCTCTAAACTTGGGAGCTGTTGGTACGTTTCAGAAGTTACATTCAATCTGGAAATGTTTTTGTTGCTTGTGGCTTTCTTTAGTCACATATGGTATTTAAAGGGCAGGCTGGCTGACAGGCTGTAATGTTTGGACTGCTTATTCACTTAGGTGAACGCATTTGTAATGTGTAAGCACTTCTGACACTTGAAAAAGATCTATTTCTTTATATGTACTTAGAATTTTGAAAATGAGATAGAAATGAGATTTTTTTTTCCATTACTCTGTTTTCCATTTAATTTAAAAGGCAGTATTGCTGTAGTTCCAGCCCTTAGTTCAGTGCTGCCTTCCTCAAGTCACTCAGTTGTACAAAGTGAGATACTGGGCAAGTTTTTAAGTATTTTCATTCTTTTTTGCATTCTTTGCTTAATGACAGATCACTGACACTTTCCCTCCTCTGTCTGGGGAGGCTGATTCCCTGCCTTAGTTCAACAGTTGTTCTCAAACTCTTATAGATGTCATCAGCATACTGCGTAGAAACATTCACCTGGCTAAAGCTGAAGTTTTACAGCTTTGCTTTTCCTCTTGCAAAATATTCAGTTGCTAGAAGGTGTGTTTTCCTTTTGAAAGATGAGCATTTTTCATACCAGCATACTTGCAGAAATCTTGTAGGAATTCTATCACGCTTCACAACAGTGTAATAAATGTGTATAATTCTATTCTAGACCATTTCGGAAAGTGAATGAAAGGGGAGTGTTGCTTTGGGACAAAATCCACAAACTGCAGAAAGGCCAGATCTACAAACAGGTACACTTTCAGTGACTTCCCTCACATTCAGTTCAGATTTAATACCAATTTCCTAGAGTCCCAAATGTCTTCAGCTATCACAAAGACTTGGAAATGGTTTTTAAGGTTATATTAATAATTTAAGTAGTTTGAGTTGATTGATTGTATCTTATTCTGCTGTTTACTTGCCTCTTAAAAATGGATATGAAAAGTATAAGTATTACTGAAATGGCATGTGAAATTTGGGATTCATGATCCATAAACTGAGGGGAGGCTTGATATAGAAATATTTTTAAGCGCATACTGAATTCTCTTGCCTGTGACAGTGCAAGTTGCATGCTGTCACAATGTCTGTGTTGTTTCTGTAGGGCAACTTGTACGAATTTCTGAAGCTGACTGGTTGGAGAGGCTCTAAGGTGCTCTACTTTGGTGATCACATCTACAGTGACTTGGCAGTAAGTAGCTTACTCTCATGAAACAGAATGAAGGCTGAGTCTGTTTGTGCTTCTTTCTTCTTCCACAATTATTCAGTAGAATGCTCTTTAACGACAAGTTCTGAATACAACAAAATCTGAGTTGGTAGTAAGCCATTTTGCTTTTCTTTCATTAAAGAAAACTGGTGCCATGGAAGGCTGATCTTGCTTTCCACCTGACTTGTAGCATTTAACTTGCGTGTAGCTCAGGGATTCGTAGAATGGCTTTGTTTGGAAGGGCCCACAAGGATCATTGAGTTCCAAACCTCCTGCCACAGGCAGGGCCACCAACCTCCATATCTAATACTAGACCAGGCTGCCCAGGGCCCCATCCAACCTGGTCTTGAATACCTCCAGGGCCAGGGCATCCAGAACCTCTCTGGCCAGCCTGTTCCAGCACCTCACCACTCTATCTGTGAAGAAATTCTCCCTGACATCCAATCTAGGTCTTCTTTCCTTGAGCTTAACCCCATTCCCCCTTGTCCTACCACTAAGGGGGATGGAGTTTATACTCGTGGTCCAGATACTGATTGTGTCAGATGTAGTAGAAAGTAAATGTGGACATCCAAATGTACAGAATGTAGCTGATCTGGATGACACTTGCTACCAAGTATAATAAGAACTGAATTAACTTCTGTCTTGAATGATAGGTGGCAATCCTTCTGTCACTAATGGTAAGCTGATATTCTTCCCAAGATCTTGAAAGGTTTGCAATCCTGTTCTCCAGGTGTCTTCTTACTACCTTACCAGTAAATATACTGCTTGCTGTCACATCAAAATAAGTTACCATCACTTAACTCTTCTGTAATTGATCGCATATAAATACCTCTACAAATGTGCTTGCCAGCAATGTGGTGACAAAGTTTCAGCAGCAGATGTAAATATTTTTGCTCCAGTCTGCTTTTAAATAGAAAAGTAAGCCTGAGTGTTTCAGAGGACTCAGTGTCAAAGGAAGGAGAAGGCTGGTGTGCTCTTTGTGCTCCTTTTTCCATTGTGCCAGGTAGCAGTTGTCTCACGTTGCAATCATCAGGAGAAACTTGAATAGCTGGAAACATACAGTTTCCCCTAAATGCTTCCGACAGCAACAGAGATCTCATCTGTAAGAAGCATTTCCTACTGTTTCCTTTAAACCTAATGAATTAGTTTTATATGCAGCTACTCATGTGTTCTTTCTCTCTGAAAATGTGGGATTTGGAACATACTCTAAAATTAAAACCTATTGCACATTGGCACAATTAGGTTCTGCAGTTTAATGTCTGCTTATGCAGAAGAAGCAATTAATTTAATACCCTTTGGAATAAAGAATGCTCAAATTCTTCAGTGTCTAAGTAGATCTGAATGTTATTTTTTCTTTCTAATTGCATCTTTAATTCTTCTTGGTAAATAGGATTTGACCCTGAAGCATGGCTGGCGCACCGGTGCGATTATCCCCGAGTTACGATCAGAGATTAAAATCATGAACACAGAGAAGTACATTCAAACCATGACCTGGCTGCAAACTCTGACAGGATTACTGGAACACATGCAGGTTTGTTCTGTGTATGTGTAATCAGTTCTGTACAGCTGAAGGGATACAGCCAAGTTTCTAAATGCTGGGTATTAATGTTGTAAGTACCTTCTGTCTCACTGAAATTTCACAGTTCAACTACAGCTAAATGTAGTTACTTGCGATGATAAGAGTTTTCTCATGATCTTAATACCTTTTTCCACTGGTTGCTCTGGATTGACTCCTGCTTTCAGTTAATTAAAACACGTTAACTTCTGTATAGTGATCTTGGAAGCATTGCTCTTGTTCTGTTAGATGTATTAATGGACAGGTTCATTGATGAGGGTATGCTTTGTTACCTGTCATCACATTTCAGGTTCACCGTGATCCTGATTCACAAATGATTTTAGAAGAATGGAAGAAGGAAAGAAAGGAGATGAGGTAAGAAAGAGGAGTTAAACTATTTCCAGTATTCTTCATGGTAGCAAAGGGTTTGATGGGATGTTTTCCACAGGTTTATCTAGAATTTGAAAGTAAATGAAATAGGAGTAAAGCTTGCTGGAGACTATTAAACTCACCTTCAAACTAACTCCTGTTTTTTGTGTATGTTAAGCTAAACTTTATTTTTTAGTCTTTTATCTCTGGGATAAATAGATGCCATTAGGACTTAGATAAAGGCTTATTTCACTACCTCTAGAAGTGAAAGCTTGAGATGCCATCTTTCTGAAGAAGTAACTTCCCACTGCTTTTAGCAGGAGAAATATAAATCATAGAATTTCCTGAGTTGGAGGGGACACACAAGGATAGAGTCCAACTCTTGGCTCTACACAGGACCACCCAAAAATCAGACCATGTGTCTGAAAGCACTGCCCAAATACTTCTGAAACTCCAGCAAGCTCAGTGTCAGAGCTGTTCTTTTCACTGCTGTGATGACTGTTTCTGGGCCATCTATGTGCAAGAGATGCAAACACTTCTTACATTGCACATTTAAGTGGCTTGAAGCAAAATGGCAAGAATGTAACACGGATGACAGATTATAGGAACTTCTTGCTTCAGGTTCTGGAAACTAGTTGGTGTAAAAAAGATGTGTGCAAGTGTGTTCCTTTCATTCTTTGTTTTCTCTTTTGGGGGACAGGGAAATGAACAGGAATTTCTTCAACGCACAATTTGGAAGCTTATTCAGAACAGATGAGAATCCCACTTACTTCCTCAGACGTCTCTCTAGATTTGCAGATATCTACATGGCATCACTGAGTTGTCTCTTGAACTATGAGCCTGATTACACATTTTATCCAAGAAGGACTCCTTTGCAGCACGAACTTCCTGGCTGGTCAGACCAGCTGTGCACTGGTACATTCAGAATACCCTTCCTACAAGAGACAGTTCAGGTCAAATAAGCACTTGCCTTGTTCTCTCTAAAATGGGCTAATTTGTTGGGGTTTTTTTGTTTTTTTTTGTTTGTTTGTTTTGTTTTGTTTTTGAATATAGATGTATTTTAAGTCACTTAAATCATTACCTTGATTTAGAAGTAATTCATACTCGTTCTCGTAAGCATTGTACTTATTTTCTTTCCTCCTGCTCAGAGATGCAAAACCTGTTCTTACACACAGAGGACATGCTGGACTGCCGAAACAGTTTTGGGCTGGGTGGGAGGAAAGACTGACATTCAAGGGTGGTTGCCTTTGTTTCTTGGTTTGAAACTTGGATCTACAGCTATGTGATTTAGAGAGAGCTATGCTGTCCCTTCAGATCTCTAGCTGCAGTCTGCAGTAGCTCTTGGCACTCAAAAGCGTAAATCCGGTATTAGTAATGCAGTGATATGCAATTACCAGCCAGTTTATGGTAAGATTTAGAGAGATGGTGTATGCATTTTAACTTTGTGTTGCATGCAGCCAGCATGTTATCTGTAACTGATGTAACTGGTATGGTATGTGTGTGCATCTCTGCTGCGCTCTGATGGCTGCCATACAGGCGTGCTCAGGTGGATGTGCTCTTTTCCTGCCTGTACACCTGTGCTTGGATGTGGACCTGAGCCAAAGCCTGACAGCAATGGGAAGCTTGGGCTGCTTCAGCTTCCTTCTGTTTCTTTTTAGACATGTTTCTTAGTTTTTAAACAAACTAAATATCCGCTCTGTGATAATAAAGCCATTTCAGGAGGTCTAGCAGGATGCATTTCAAAGCGAAAGCGGAATTCCATCAGACTTCAGATTGATCCAAAATGCTGCTTTTTACATTTCTAAGTGTCTTACAGTGGCATGCAATGCAGTTTAGGAGCTTCCTTGGAGAGAATGTATTTCACATAGCCTTCTGTAACGGGTGTCTGCATTCAGTAGTACATACGCACAATGGGTAAATGAGTTGGGGGGGTGGAGAAGTATATGAAGAAAGAAAAAGAAATCCAGAGTTAACTGGTGGCATTTTTTTTTTAATTTTTTTTTTTTTTTTAGCTGAAACCCCCAAAGCTGAACTGGGGGTGATGGACAATTTGTATCAAGCAAAATAATTTTGACTGTGCAGGTGAGAAGTTTTACTGAATTAACTAAAATTGGAAGGAAGGCATGAGCACAAACTTTGGGAGGCATAAATGTTCCAAAGATTTGAGCTGAATATCTCTATTTTGCACAAGGAAAACATCTGTTGATGTGTTTCCTCAAACAGGCACTTTATAGAACTGCTATATGGTTGTTTTTAAATTGGGATGCTTTCTTTTCTCTGCATCCAAAAGAAAGCTTTCTTTTTTTCTATTTTGTTTTTTCTTAAGTGGTGCTTCCTGCTCCAGCCATCTTAGAAAGCATGTAAGTGATATAATGGCTTTCAAATGTTAATTAAGGTTTCTTTTGTTAAAAGCATGACAGTTAACAAAATACATATAGAGTTTGGTATCTTTCATTTTAGGGCATCATTTGTTTCCTATCATGATTGTCAGGTAGACAAACTTTTGGTGACCAAAAGTTTTCCTGTTTGTTTTTAACCAGTCTTATGTATACGAATCTGTACTGAATTCAAGATGTGATATCTTGAATGTTTTTTAAAAGCATATTTGCAAAGTAATGAATGTATTTTAATCTAGCATGCACAATTTCATATGCAGTTTTCCTGTATGCTTGAAATCAGTCTGAATGCCTGGAGATGTGCTTGTGGATTTTCTATTTGTGGTTTTCATGAGCTCCTGTTTCAAACTTGACATGCAATACTCCTGAAGTGTGTGTTTGAACAGATGAGTGCACCTGAAATGAGGGAGCTCATCTGACCGTCCTGCTGTTCTGGGGAAAGAGAAAAGATGCTTTTTTGCAGAGTTAGTTAGGCATTATCAGGACAGGTATTGGTGGGGCTGTGCAAGAGACTTAGCAGAATTTGATAATATGAGCTGTTCTGTGAGCTGAGCTCTGGAGCTGGAAGTTTGCCTTGGGTTCCTCATCATCATGCTCAGCTAGAAGTGAACTTGGTATTACTCTGTATAGCACCTTTCTTGTTCCAGAGATCTCAATGCGCTGTTTAAAATAAAACAAAAAAATGTATGTGCTTCATCTTGCTACCAGCGATTAATAGCACTGCTACTCAGTTCTGCATTATTGAATTTAATAATCGCTCTGATGTTGATTCCTTGGAACCTGGCCAGGAGTCAGTTTGTTTGCCCATTTTTTCCATGATACCCAGGAAGGGTTGGATGATGTTAGCCACGCACTGCCCATTTTGTTCCAAGACAGTTGTCTCCTCTCTTACCTTAGAAATCCATCCAATGTCTGTACAAAGCTACCTGACAACAGCTAGCTGAAATAAACCTTGTTTATGTTGCATGACTTGTTGAAATAAACAGCACTGCATGACAAAAAATTAATTATGGGAGAGTCATGTTCTTTTAAAACTATATACAATTTGAGTTTAAGTGGGAGTTCTAAAATGTAGTATTTATTTTTCACTGCTAGAATGTTAGTCTTTTAAAAATGTCTTGCATTTTTATAATGATTTCAAAGAACTGGAGCTGTATACCTCTGTGTTCTCTGCATTATTTATTTGAACCCTTCATTACTGGCTTCAAAGATTTTTGGGTGCATTGAAAGGGCAATGTCTGTTTCTGTTTGTTTTGGGAGTACAGTTTGTTGGAACACTGAAGTAAGAATAATTTTCTTTTTCTGTTCTATCAAAAACTCAAAGAGAATCAATAGTCTGGTAAAAGAAGAGTTTAATGAACTGTGGAAACATTTTGTGATGAAAATACTTAATGATTACTACAAAAATAAATGCTTGAACTTTATCTTCTTGTCCCTATGAATGTTAATTTTTTTTGGTAATGTGGGAGGAGGAAAGAACATGAATTATATTGCTGCAAAACTGGCTAACAAATACTCCCTTAAATGTGTGTATTTTATAGGTGTGTTGTAATATGTATTTTTTAATATCTCTAGGGAAGTTCAAGAAGACACCTCTATAGGAGCAAGAGCAAATCCTAGGGAAATCAGTCTGTGGCCTTCATTCATTGTATATTTACACATGAGGTTCCCCTGGCTGTCCTTGATAGTTGTCATCAGTCCTGGCTTATTCTGACAGGAGGTACTCTGAGGATATTTCAGAGGAAATGAATGCATCCCTCCAGTGCTGTCTTTCCCCTTGTCCTTCCCACATGTAGCAAATATGCTGCAGGTGAACATTACTGCTGTTGAGCAATAGCATCCTCCTTTCCTTGCTGTTTTGTAGTTTCTGTCAGTCAAACTTGGGGTTGATTCACTTGTAATAGTAAGGTGAAAATAGCTGCTGCTGTTACAGCATTGGCTGAATGGCAGCATGTGTGAAGAAGCAGATGTCTTCTGTCAGACCTGAAGATATGGATGTGACTGCAGAGTATCTTCATTGGCTACTTGTTCACAAAAATGGCTCAAGTACAAACGTGTTTCTATTTTAATACTCTCATATAGCAACTTTAGCAAGAAGTACAGCTATGCTTAATATTGCCCTTTGTAGAGTGACATGAGATATAAACCAAGCTTAGGAAAGCTGGAAATGCTGGAGCAGGCCAGCTGAGGCAGATGTGCCAGTATCCTTTTCTGTAAGAATTGCAACAAAAAACCCAAAAAAAAACAACAAAAAAAATCCAACCAAAAAACTATGGCTTTTTTTTTCTTTTTCTTTTTTTGTTTAAAACTATGGATTTAACACATTCTGTTTCATGGCAGCTGGCTGTAGTTGCAGCTGAGCCAAAACAAAGGCAGAGCTGGAGTAGTAGCAAATTTAGTATATTTGCCAACTTATCAGCCTGTGTGTTTGAGGCAATTTAAAATCCTGTACAAAGAATAAAAGCTGGGTGATAAGAGGCCACTGAAAGTCCTGTGCTTTTTGTAGAAAAATAAGTGCCTCTTTTCTCTCGGACTGCTGGAGAGTTGAGCCTCACTTTGGCATTTAGCACTCAGAGTTGATATTTCTCAATCAGTGTTTCTGAGGTTGGTAACTTTGCAAATCCTACAGACTGCGTGTTAAACAAGGCAGAACTCTTATGCTTTGGTTTTTAATTTATAATGAGGTTTTATTCCCTGACAATTGTAGTTGCTGTGGTTCCTCCCCCCAGTAAATGCAAATAGAAATGTATTCTGTAACTGACTAATGCCAAGCTGAGTCTTTAATTCTGATCATAAGGGCCACTCATCACAAGCTGCTGGTCATCTGAATCCTATGAAACAGAAGGGAAAACAAATCAGACTAACATCATGCACGTGAAACTCACATTTTTGGGAAATGTATCCACATAGATGGGTTTTATCCACATAGATGGAAGTATGCAACTGCCATTTTTGCACTGAATAAGCCTTTTTACAAGACTACTCTGCTCGTTAGCTGCTGTATTTACATGACAGTCTTGCTAAATCGGGCCATTAAGGCTACCCAGATGATTCAGTCTTACCCAGATGATTCAGTCTTACCCAGATTTTCCTTCTCTTGTTTCCCACCCCTTTCTCACTGTGTTTCAGACACTGTACAGTGTGCTAGCATGACACTCAGCTGCATTTGCAGCAATGAGAAGACAAAACTGAAAGGCTTTAAAGTTTGTATAGACATGTCGCAGCACCATTTGAAGTCCAGTTTAGTTTGGCTCTCTTTGAAAGCAGCTGGAGCCTCAGTAGTCATTACTTAGAATTGTAGAATCACTAGGGCTGAAAAAGACCTCCAAGATCATCTTGCTTCAACCCCCCCCATGCCCACTGCCCACGTCTCTCAGTGCCACATCCACATGGTTCCTGAACACCTCCAGGGACAGTGACTGCACCACCTCTCCGGGCAGCCTGTATCACTGCAGCAACCCTCTTTCTGAGAAGAAATGTTTCCTAAGATCCAACCTGAACCTCCTCTGGAGCAACTTAAGGCTATTATCTCGTCTTACTTGAGGCAGAGCTATAGACTATAGCCTCATTTAAGCTCCAAGTGAGGCTACCCCATTCCTGGCAGGGCTGAGATAGAAAAGCCAGGAATTTCAATGAGCTTTTTTCCAAATACTTTTTCCAAGTTGATTTTTTCCTTTATAAGATCACCCTTCTTACTATGATCTTAGTTGTGTCCCAAATAAGATTTAACACTTACTGAGAAAAGGTCGTAGGTAGGTTCTGATGGAGTCAGTGCAGAAGAACTTTCATATGAGGGGTTGGTGATATTTGAAGGCTGGGGCTTGTCCAGTGATGTTACATCAGTGTCATCTTTTGACTACATAAAATAACACAGATGATCTTTAAATCCATTCTCCTCCTACGGTGCCTTAAGTGGAGCACTTAACCTTCTCTACTGACTAGTGCAGTGTTGTGAGTGAACTGGCTTCATCATCTAATTCTGTGTCTCCAGGCATGAACTCTGCACTCATGAACTCTGGGTGTCATGTTGTCTTGGATCACTTAATGTTCAAACATTTTACCCCCTTCTTAAGTCACTGTGAAGAACAGGACAGGAAGTACTGCACTGGCATTGTGCCTAGCATGAAAAGTATGTGCTTGTTCTTAAGTGTGCTTGCTGCTGTGATATAAAGATACAAGCATTTCCTCTGGTTCATGGCTCCTTTTTTATTTCTATAGTACTATACATATACATAAGCTAGAATAGGAGGGAGTTTCTGATTGCTTTCCTTGGGATTGATTTTGTATCACTTTTTTTGTATCACTTCCTTGTCTCTGGATAGCTTGGCTTCTACTGGCTGATTTTGCATCATCAAGATGCTCTGTGAGGCTAACGAAGTTAGAGAAAGCAAGCATGAGAGCACATCGGTATAAGAGTTTATACTTCTCAATCTGCTCTGATTTGCTTGTCTCTCAATCCAGCCTTTTTTTCCTATCAAATACCTGAACCTCCAGAGCTATAAAATTATTAGCAGTGCCATGGAAGGGGAGGGGAAAGAGAGTAAGTTCATCTGTAAGTGGTTCAACTGATCTGCTTCCCTAAAGCTGACATTTCTGGAGACACGGCCTTCTGCACTGGTGCTGTTCAGATGTAAGCGTTTGGCCAGGCCTTACTGTTGGTAGTGTCAGCGAGAGCAGGAGCCCTGGTAGTGCCCCCCAGCGTGGTGCAGCAGGCAAAGTAACCGAGTTCCCAAGTCAAATATGGGAGCCTTTGTCATGTGTCAGTGTGAGCAGTTCAAGCGTAAAGTGATCTGAAATGTCTCTGCAATTCTAGCTTAATGAAATGTGAGGATAACTTGGAGCCTGAGATCTGGAAAGCACAGTGGGGTCTGGGAAGTGCGGAGTGCTTGCTTTGCACTCCCCTGCCTCTTACCTTGAAGTGCTGGAAGGCTGTGCTTTGCTTCCTGAATCGGAGGTACGAGTATCCGATGAAGGCCACGACTCCAATAACCAGGCAGATGCCAAAGAATATCCCTGTCCCCGTACTGGCATGGAGATGAGCCTGGAAGCACGGACAGGGTGAGCTATGGGGTGTGCACTGATTGCCTGCCAGCATCCCAGTACTGTGATGTTTCCCTGAGCTACGTCTGAAGTCCTTAGCTGCTTTTGTGGCGGAGTTCCCCACTATGTGGTCTGCAGAGACCTTTGAATGCGACTTTCTGATAATAACTGCAAACTAGAATTTGGATGCTGCGCACTCAACAACGGTTTTGGTACAGCTTCAGCTTGTTTGTGTTTTGAAATATCCAGAATAGACTGTTTTATGCGTATGCATAACTTCTTAATAAATTCCTAGGCAAAGAGCTGAAAGAAATTTACACGTAATCTGGATTTAACCTATGTGGGAAGAATGTTTCCAAACTGGGTTGGTGGTTTGCTTTCTGCAGCCCTGTGGCCTGATACAACTGCAGTCCTGAAGGGAACTGCTGGTTTTGTGCTGGTGATAATTTTGTCTGAAGGTTTTAGGGTGCTCCGGATGTAGTTTCCCAACCACTGTGCTCTTTGCTGGTAATCCTAGGAGTGAAGAGGGGTCTCCAGTGTGGAAGAGACTCTGGCTTTTCTCTATGATGCCTCTGTGTCCTTCTTAGAGAAAGGGTTTCTACATACACGCTGGCAAAAACAATCCCTTAATTATCCTGACTAATATACACTCTGCACTGAAGTATAGTGCAGTTGTACAGCTAAATATTAGAAAATCTTTGGTTGTCCTCCTGCATTTGAGTTATGAAGAAAATAATATGCACAGTATTATCACTGTGGTGCTATGGACTGACAGAAATGGTGTGTTATTTTGAATCGAGTGAAAGGGCCCAAAGGAAGTGAGAGCAGCCCTTTCTGCACTGCGTTGCTTCGCCATGTGCTGTTGGGTTTGGCTTGGCTGCTCTTCCTCACGGATGGGATAACTGGAACCACGGCAGGAATTTATGCGTGCAAAAAAATAATCTGAGTTTTCAAACACTTTGTTTTGGAAAGGAGGAAGTGCCAAAACCAACAGTAACGAGTTTTCCCCAGAAGCTTGAAAGATGCTTTTGGGAAAATTCAAAGGGATCTTTATAAAAGCTTGGGTGTGCAAAATAGCTGAAGAGATTGAATTGAAAAAAAAATATGTGGGAAGAACAAGCTTCGCTAGCACTGTGTTCTCACCCTCTGAATTTCTTTCAATATAACTTTTTAAACTGAAACTGTATACATGGGGGGTAGGGGGGGAACTGGGAATATATGAATATCAGAAATTAATTTGGGATATAAGCCACAGCCACCTCCTACTACCCCAGAAGTCCCTATGTACTTACAGGTGCTGGCGGAGCCCTCAGAGGCTCTGAAATGACATGGATTATCCCATTGGAAGCGACTATATCCCACTCAACAATAGCACTTCCATCCA